GTGGTGTACACAAGCTCTGTGGTGCACGTATGCACTGTGGTGTACACAGGCGCTGCGTTGCACACGGCTGTTGCAGTGTACGCAGGCGCTGCGGTGTACACGCCCGCTGTGGGGCACGCAGGCACTGTGGTGTGCACAGGCGCTGTGGTGCAGATCGCCACCTACATGCTGCTCCTACTGGGCCTCGGTCATCCCTGGGCATTCCCGGACGCCGCCGGCGCGGAGCGTGACGTCATCTGGGGGGAGGGCGAGGCCGATGACGGCCGCTATCCCGGAGAATATGTTTTAAAAATGTTGGGCTTGGCCGCCCCAGGGCCACCTTAAGGCGCGCACCAAACGTCGTTCGTGCCCAGGGTCAATATTGCGGGTATACGGCCTTCCCCCTCCTCCTCTCACTTGCATCTAGGCTTCCTAGATGGGGTCAGAGTAGATGTGGTCGGAGGATCACGCCGCATCGCCGACGCATCGGCGATGCATCGCCGATGCGGCGCGATCCTCCGACCTCATTCATTCCGACCCCACCTAGGAAACTTACACTGTTTCGCCCCCTGTGCCCAGGCATCACGCTCGCGCGTTCGCCGTCATCTGCCTGCTTCTCCCCAGGCGAGATGACCTCGGTTCTCCCCCGGGCCCAGATCCGCTCAAGATTGGCCCCCAGGCATTCCCCCCCCTCGGGGTCCATGGTGACCCGTTTCTCGACGCGGATCCGGACGTGACGGCGAGAAGCCCCCAGGAAGCCCCAAACTATAACTATTATCATTATTATTATTATTATAATTATAATTATTATTACTAATATTATTATTATTGTTATTATTATTTTTATTCGTGGTAGTATTAGCGTTAGTATTATTATTACTAGTATCATTTGGTATTATTATTCTTCAGTGACAGGGAGGACCGCTTCTGTCTTGGCCCCCCTCCGATCGGCGAAACGGGCCCGTGGCTCGGGCCTCCTGTGGCCGCGTGGGACGAGCTGGCGCCCTTGGAACGCCCTCGACGAGGCGTACCACATGGAAACCTCCTCCTCCTCCTCCTCCTCCTCCTCCTCCTCCTCCTCCTCCTCTCCTCCTCCTCCTCCCCCTCCCCCTCCTCCCCTCCCTCCTCCTCCCCCTTCCTCCTCCTCCTCCTCCTCCTCCTCCTCCTCCTCCTCGTCCTCCTCCTCCTCCTCCTCCTCGTCCTCCTCCTCCTCCTCGAAATCTGGCGAAAGCCTCAACCGGAAAGGGGAAAGAGGGAAGGAAGAGGCGGGAGAAGGACGGAACACGGGGACGGGAGGCGAGATGGGGAGCGGCGGCACAGAAGAGCTGCGAGGGAGGAGGAGGAGGAGGGAAGAGGAGGGACGAGGAGGAGGGGAAGGATGGAAGAGGGAGCTGAGGGAGGGGGGGGCGCTCCTCCGATGCCTCTCCCGCCCCCGCGGCCAGGTCTGGACGTTCTGCCGCGTTCGCCCCCCGGCGCCGCCGGGGGGCGCACCGCCGGCGCTGGGCGGCGGCCCCGTCAAGAGCGCCAAGGCGGAGCTGGGGATTGTCGTCGCCGAGGAGCCGCCCGGCTGGCCGCCAGGAGGAGGCGTCGGCGGCGCACACCAGGGGATAAAAACTCGGGAGGGAAAAAACACACAGACACAATGAATCGTCGATCCCCGAGAAAATATTGGAAAAGATGGGAAGTGGGGAGGAAGACGAGAACCCAGAGCATGTGGGAAAATATGGGGAATATTTTTATGTGTGTATTTATTTGTGTGTCCTGGGGCCCCTTCAAAAACGAGGGGGGGCTCCTGAGAAGGCAGGGGGGCTCCTGACAAGGCAGGGGCGAAGCGCTCGGCACGCCTAGAAGCCTAGAGCCCCACCAAGGGATGTTCTGAGAGCCTTTGGTGGTCTGCGCGAGATATTCGTAGAACGTGTCTGGCCGAGGCAGTCTTGTTTTTTTTTATCCCAACGGGTGCACGTTCCAAGAACATTGCTTCTGTTCCTAGGACATCTTCGGGTTCCAAGAATATGTCGTGGTAGGCCTATAGGAAAAACGGGACGGTTGGCTCCTGCTTGAACTTCTGAAGAAGGCAGGGGCCTTCTTCGAATCGGAGGGCCCGGAGGGGCTCCCGAGGACCCTTCGTGGGTGCCTCCGGACGCTTCTCCTAAGAATGGCCCCCGCAGGCCCTCCCCGTCGCGCATCGCGCGGCACCCCATCGTGCGCGCCGCCAAAAAAGTCTGGCCGCTGGGAGGAGGAGGAGGAGGAGGAGGAGGAGGAGGAGGAGGAGGATAGGAGGAGGAGCACCAGCCAGAACGCCAAAGGAAGGAGCAGTCTTGTAGCTGGTTGGGGGACCGAGGTGGCCCAGCACGGTGCCGGACATCAGGAAAGGGGGAGAGAGAGAGAGAGAGGGGTGCCTTTTTGTCGCCACGGCGGGACACGGCTCGAAACATTGCGTCTTTTTCCTCCTTTTCCTCCTCCTCCTCCTTTTCCCCCTTTTTCCTCCTCCTCCTCTTCCTCATCCCTCCTCCTCCTCCTCTTCCTCCTCTCCTTTTCCTCCTCCTCCTCCTCCTCCCCCTCCTCCTCCTCCTCCTCCTCCTCCTCCTTCTCCTCCTCCTCCTCCTCGTCCACCTCCTTCCCCCTCCGACTTATGGTGTGGTGGTGACCGAGTGTGAGCGGCTTTGCCCTCGCCCCCCCCCCCCCACCTCCCCCCCCCACACGATTCTCCCAGGCCCATCCAGCGCAGAACTCCCCCCGGCCGCTTCCAAGAACAGTCTGTGCTCAGAGGGGCCTCGCTGTTCCCCAGGCCGGCCCACGGCTGTTCCTCCAGCGCTCCCCATGCATCCAGGCGCGTTTGGGACCCCAAGGGGCTTCGACCTTGATGTAGAAATCTGTATGATAACAGCTTGACCCCAGGGAGGAGGAGGAAGAGGAGGAGGAGGAGGAGGAAGAGGAGGAGGAGGAGTAGGAGGAGGGGGGGAGGAGGAGGAGAGGAGGAGGAGGAGGAGGAGGAGAGAGAGGAGGGAGGAAGGAGGAGGGAGGGGGGGGAGAAGGAGGAGGAGGAGGAGGAGGAGGAAGAGGAGGAGGAGGAGGAGGAGGAGGAGGAAGTGGGAGGAGGGAGGAAGGAGGAGGAGGAGGAGGAGGAGGAGAAGGAGGAGGAGGAGGAGCGGGAGCAGAATGAAAAGGAGCAAGGGGAGGAGGAGGAGGAGGAGGAGGAGGAGGAGGAGGAGGAGGAGGAGGAAGTGGGAGGAGGGAGGAGGGAGGATGAGGAGGAGAAGGAGGAGGAGGAGGAGGAAGAAGAGGAGGAGGAGGAATGGAGGAGGAGGAATGGAGGGGGGGATAAGGAGCGACCTCCAAGCAACCCCCTGTGACTGTACTGGGTACGTCCATCCAAAGACCCTCATTGTCAGAATTTTTTCATACCGTAATGTTGACTCCCAAAGGCCTGGACCCCTTCCCAGACATCGGGTGTTCACCCGTAATCATGGGCCCCCGGAAGACAAACAGTAGCGAAACTTTTCCTTCGTGAGTTTTGCCACGACTCGACGGGTCTGGGTCCAATGGACGTCGGCGTCACCGCGCGCTCTGGCTCAGGCACGCCCGCTGCCACCGCGCCCGCTTGACTGCCCGCTGGCTCTGCCCACGTGCGTCCGACGGCGACGGCGACGGCGACGACGACGACGACGACCCGCCGCACGGCGCGGAGCGCGCAGTCATCGGGCCGAGCGCTGGGACGCTCCGCTCTAAGAGGGGCCTCGCGCTCCGCTCCGCCTCCTGTCCCATCGTCGACGGGCCCGCTCGAGGGCCGAAGGAGTCGGAGCCTCTTCCCCTGCAGGAGGCGGCGGCAGGGCGGAAGCAAAAAGGGGGCGGCTCCGCCAGCGGAAGCGACAGGTGCGCCCCCGAGAGGTGCGACTCGGGCGCAGCTCGAGCCACGACTGCTCTGGATCCTCCCCTCGGAGGAGCACCCCTTGAGGCAACGTCGGCTCTCCCGCCCAGGTCTGCTCGAGATCGGCGCGTTGGTGCTGCCATCTCTGGGGGGGGGGGGCTCCTGGTTACCAGCCTGGAACATATCCCTATCCCTATGCTGGTCACCTTCTCATCACGATACCAATCTTGGGGATTCCCTTCTTTTGTGAAGGCGAATCCCTAAGATTGTCATCGCCTTTTGGCGTGTCAATCTTAGGGATAGGGATAAGTTCGAGGCTGGTAAGGGGGGGGTGGCCTCCTGGTGGCCTCTCGTCGCCACGGCTGGATCCCCCTCGACCCACGGGCCAGGATGCACCCCCGGAGGTGCCCCCGGGCCCCCTCCCCCTGGGGGGGGGCGGGGCGCAGGGGTTCGACGGCGCGGGGCCGAAGCCCCTCCTCCTCCTCCTCCTCCTCCTCCTCCTCCTCCTCCTCCTCCTCATCCTCCTCCTCCTCTCCTCCTTCTCCACCTCCTCCTCCTCCTCCTCCTCCTCCTCCTCCTCCTCCTCCTCCTCCTCCTCGTCCACCCCCTTCCCCCCTCCAACTTATGGTGGTGGTGGTGGTGGTGGGAAACAGGCCCATCAGCACTGCGGCACCCGAGCTGGAAGGGCACACTGGCGCGCGAGCGTCGAGCAGCACCGCGTCGCAGGAGATCGCTGCCGATACTGGCCCAGTCAGCCTATGATTAAGTCGGGCCTGTCCCTCTACAGGAGGGATATTCAAAAATAGTCCAAAAATAGTCTGGGGAGTATTGTTTCAGTATTTTTTTATGTTTCGTCCAAAATCCGCAGGGGGACAGGCCCGACCTAAGCCTATTACACCAGAGAAAAAAGTCCCAACCAGTGGATGGTTTGAAACTGGATCGATAAAGAGATCGATAAGGAGATCGACCGGGAACCTGGGAACCTGGAACCCACCGAAGTCGGCCGGGAGCCCGGGAACCCAGAAGCCAGCCGGCTACCAAAATCGGCGGGAAATTCCCGCCAAATTTTTCATTTACACAAGAGAAATACCCCAATCAGTGGATGGTTTTCGCTGAATTCGCAAGCCCGGGAACCCAGAACCCACCGAAACCGCCCGGAGCCAATAACCAGGAGCCCACGAACCCGGGAACCCGGGAACCCAGCCGGCTACCAAAATCGGCGGGAATTTTTCGCTCAATTTCTCAATATCCGCTAGGACCCCTTCAGTGCAAGCACTGATTTGGGAATTTGTTTTCACCGCCCAGACATAGTTTTGTTTCATGTGCGTCTCGCATTGCAACGTCGTGTGGACAGAGGGCGAGAGCGTCCGACCATTTGGCAGAGTTGCGTTCAATGGTCGGTCGTTTGCCAGCGTCGAATCAGTTCTCGCGTGATGCTCTAGCCCGTCCATGGGCTTGTTTCGCATTTTGTCCCTTGGCTCACTGAGGTATTCAAGCAGCTGATCGTGCACTGAAATGTGGATTCATTATCGTTGCAACCTCCAGCGAGAGCCAGGAGAGAAGCCAGGGGGCGTACGGGATGGGCTGGTTTGCGATCTAATCGGGGCATGTCTGTAAGGCGAAACTCCCCGAGGGTCCCAAGGATCCATTCTTATCGTCAAGCGCAAACTGCCCGCGCTGGCACAAGCCAGAGCTTGGGACGGACCTACTTTGCTCACCAGGGCAGCGGTAGCCCCTTGGAATCAGATAATGGCAGCGATTGACGCATGCCAAGCTCTTGCGGGTTAGGCGTATCCTGTTGAGAATACATCTGTGGTGGGCAGGACATCCTTCCATTAGATGTCGGGTGTCCGCAGTGGGCCTTCGCCTCTGCTTTCGCATGCTTCCCCAGAGCAGCCCCCTCGCGTCCGCGAAGGTCTTTGACTGTAGATAGTTGGTGGTGTTCCTGCAGCTTTGGGCGCCAGGGTGATCTCGAATCGTTCCCACGCGCTGGTCAGGACAGGTGCTCGGGAGGATACGGTGGCCGCGTTCGAGCGCGCGTCGGGTGGCGCTGTTGTTGCTCCGCCAATGCGTGGAGATGCCGGTTCAGGAGAAGGTTGTCATGGACGCGGCAAAGGCATGGAGAAAAAAACGATTGCAGAAACAGACGGATTCAGGATTCCGCGCGGATTCCTCGGATCGGCGTGGAGCCCCCCCTTGGCGGCGATTCTGGTGCCTCCCCTGGCGCGCTCTTCGTGCCAGGGAAGGAGATCTAGAGCCGATCCAAGAAACCCGCGCGAACGTCCAAAAGTTAATTGTGCCTACACAGTTTTGTCCTCCGCCAGAGGTAGCTATGTGCTCACAGGTTTCATGGTACTGTTCTCTCGGTCGTGTACACAGCTCACCCTCTGTAGTAGATCTTGTACGGTGGGAGTGTTGGCACACCTCGGGCACATTTCCCGAGCGCGCCCAATCCTGCCACCAAACAAGATCCATTCCCCTGCTCTATATGTTTCATGTGGCTCGAATGTGGACCGACTTGCCGAACAAAGTACCCCAGCGCTCCCATAGTGCAACTACGCCGCCTTGAATGTGTCCTTCTGAGAGGTAGCGATTGCGGGTAGAAGGGCTGCATAATTCTTGTAGTACCAGGTGTTGTGTTGTCATTCAAGCGCCTGCACTTGCCAACAGGCAGCGCAGTAGTTCGGC